ATAGTTTGCGTGCGGGAGGTGCGACAGCGTGTGCAAATAGGGGTATCCCTGATCGTTTGTTTAAGCGCCATGGGAGATGGAAATCAGAAAATGCCAAAGATGGTTATGTCAAGGACGATTTGAAACAACGTCTTAGCGTGTCTTTGAGTTTGGGTCTATAAGGCGAATCTAATTTAAATGGTGATTTATGATACTAGTTCTTTCTTTGATATTCAGGCGGTTCGACGCTGCATACCACTAGAAGTGTTATGGGTTTTGATATGGAGCAGGGGAGGAAGAGAAATATATTTTCCTGCGGTTGAGGGAACCGAATTAGGAGGAAAATAATTTCTCTCCATATGCGTAGTAATATAAGGGGTATGAAGTACTATTTGCAAGTAAATAGTCTTACGAAGTCATTCAGGTCGAAGTCGCCAGATGCAACAGACGTTTTTACAACTGAGTAATCGGATTAGTGTAGGTTGTGAGATAGAATATATAATCGTTTTGTAATGGAATTGTAATTTCTTATTGTTAAATATTTAACTATACTCGTCCGCGTATAGCTCCGGAGACAGTTACTGTGTGAAGGCGGACACAGATTTCCTATTTTTCCCCAAAGGGTATTTTTTAGGTTTTTTCTGGTTGGCGGGGCTGTCGGTGATGGAGAAAGGTTGTAAGACATTGAGTTATGTCTGAGTAATGGTGTAAGATATAGGGTAATGATTGTAGATATAATGTTGTTTGTATATAATGATGTTTGTATATTTGGAAAGGTGTAAGATATAGATTTATGTTATGGTGTAAGATAGTAATGTTTGTAGATTATAATATTGCTTGTATATAATGTATATAGCTGATATATAATTAAAGGCGGTTCGACGCTGCATACCACTAGAAGTGTTATGGGTTTTGATATGGAGCAGGGGAGGAAGAGAAACCAAGTAATCGATAAGTGCCGCAACAGATCTGAACACGTGAGAACTATTTAATTAACACACTAATTATATAAGAATCTAATCGACCAGATAAGTACCGTTATCCAGAAGGGGTCCAACTTGGTAAAGTTACTTCATGGGGCTACGCAACTCATGGATTAAAGGTTTATGTCAGTGTTCCAAACAATAAAATATATCATCTAAACGTTATAAATATGAGAACTTACATAAATCGGTACTTAATAGATACCGTTGTTCTTTTGGGTAGAAAAACATAAATAATCCTTTGATCTGATCTCTCGTTTTACAACCACTCATGGATGATCTCACTGCTAGAAAAACAGCATCACTGGTGTTCTGACCATTAAGTTGAACGGAAATTGTAGCAGATATATCTGTCCTGTACAATTAAAGAGAAATAGATTTGTATAATACCTATCTAGGTTACATTGTTCTACTATTAAATCATATAGAGAAGGGATGGTCATTAAATGTGCAATAAATATGTTTGCGGGGCCCCAAAGACAAAAATCACGACGTATTCACCATAAATGAAACATAAACGACTTTTAAAGGTGTATTTGTGAAACAATTCCCACTTTAAGGAATTTTTTATACGTTTTATTAGGGATGCAGGAGTTCATTGCTCAACCAATGGAGGCGCCAGAATTATTTTGGGATTTGTAGCAGTCGAAGTTCTATGATACGTGGAGAAAACAGGAACTAAAATGGGATCGCCCGGGTTCCTGGTCTGGCGCTATCGTAGAAGACAACAACCGTGATGCACTGGGAACACGTTTAGTGTTTGAGGAACATTCAGTAGAAATGTCTTGGAATATTGTGGATTTGTGTTACGATGGATTTGGTTTAGCTGACGATTTATAGAGAGGCCCACTTACCATTGCTCATCTCCAAAGACATTGAAAGATGTATTAAAATTATCTACATGACACCAGTACCAATGTACAGGTTCATCTATAACCATTTGTTTCATAAACTTGTTTCCTCCACTTTCACCAACTTCAAATGATCCAATTTGTTGTGCAAAGTAATATGGTTCTTCACCAACATAGTATCCTGAGTATATCAATTAATCAACGTTTTACTTTATTTTATGCATAAAACAATGATTAGTGGTTACAATATATAATATATTTATCAAGTGCTAGATGGGACTATTTCCATATCTTTGTTCGAGTATTATTCTGAACTGAAATGTTAGATTGTTAGAGACCTTTCGCATCGATTATAAAGATGAAACCAAATCATATTCGTTTACAATTCAGCACTAAACGGGCGGCTGCATTCTCTAAACTCTGAATATGGATTCAGACATCACATTTCAAGTACATATGAATCGATGAAGAGTTCGGTTTCGCACAGACGCGAAGGCTCTCTAATGATACACAAATATTAATACTTGTAAACGATTTGAAGAATTAACCCTTTCAATGTTAGATTTTTCAAATTCATCCAAATATTCAGTTGGCAAAGTGACGTCGATTTGGTAAAAGTCCTTTTTGACGCTTTGTATATTTCTGTAATGCTGGCTATATCTTTGAATACTAGGCCTACATCGAATGACATCATAATATATAGCTCACCAGTGATAGTTTAATACATATTCTGCAATTATCACCCTGATTTAAATCACTCGAAATTCTCACCTTCAAAATCCTCAGTATATGGCAAGGGAAATGGTTTAGAATCAGGAATATTTGGATAATCTCCTTTATGACCAGTATTAACTGTTGTTAATGTCCATACTTCATTCGCATTTAGTGTCAAGGAGATATAACCATTCACTACCTTTAAATTGAAATATCTAGATCATTATCAGTCCAACATAGGATGCCAATCAATGAAACATACCGCCACTAGCAAAACGTCGTCCGAGTTGTTATAACCTAAACGACTTTTAAAGCTTTCAACATGACCGGAACATGATTGAAGCCTCTGAGGTGTTTACAATATTTCTGTAACCAAGGGAATTAACTCCGGACGTTATTAACATACTATTGATGGGATAAATATCCAATTTATAATTTAGAGGTATATTTTTAGAGTATTGTGGCCTCATAGGATTTAGTGTATGAACAAGAAATGTAAAGGACGGGTCCACGGACATAGACCCATAACAAAGGGCCATGACCGTGACAGCTATCACCGAAAACTATTGGAGTCAAAAATATCCCAACAAGGATCCTAACTAGAAACTATTATGAAAAATTGTGGAAAATGAATGCATATTTCTTCTTTATACTGAAACAGCCAACCAATATAAATTCCAGAAAGATGGGTTGAATAAGTGCAGTTTGAAATGTGAATGCTAACAGGATTTCGGGTATATTAAAGAAATGTGAACAACAGAAGGATAAGAGTGACGTCAATTTGCGAACAAATGTTGTTCCTACCTTTATCGAGTCCATTTGTTGGAAATATCCTTGAGAATTATTTGTATCAGTGTGCCATACGTTTAATGAATAGACACTCTTACTCTAAAATAGAATTACAGAAAATGTTATTTCCAATATCAATGAGCAGTGTAAATGGGTAAACAAAAAAGCATGAACCGACCCAAGATCATATTTGCTAATTATTTGTTAATTGAAATATAATTATCATCAGAATCAATACTTACAAATGTTCCTTTAATTTCAAAATTTACCACTTGGTCACTAAAGCTGTCCGAGGATGATGGTTTAGTCTGAAAAATATGTGTGATTTAGCCTTAGCAAACTTCAACGTTGGTATATAATAAGTCTATCATCAGGAATATAATATATACAAACAGAATAATAAATATTGTCATACAGGTGCGTAGCTACCAGGCTAGACTGGGCGGTCAACGCCATAAGTAACTATCCCCGTCTCTCTGGTAAATCCAGTAACTGAACACGAGTGAGCGCAAAAGCCGAATTTGGATATAATATACACGTGACCCAAGTTCTCTAAATTCAAACGTCAAGACATTGGCTATCGTCTTTATAACATATGGTGAAACGTCTCATATCAAAGTATGGAACATAAGAAATTATACATTGTTTATGTAATTTTTCCTGTATAAAAGTGTGAGGTGTGGAGTATTTTATATATACTATATTTTACCAGTGTTTCTATAATAATTGTCAGTTGTTTTTCATCTGGACTTGTTAAAACAACATAGCTTCCACCATTAGTAAAATTACCAACACCATATCCATGTTTAAAATATTTCCAACCTATTTCAGTGAACTGAGTCGTGTGAGCTGAAAAAAGAAGATATACTTTGTAGGTAGAATATATTGTTTAATTGTATCATTGCACAAAATATGATACTATATACGTGTTGGTATGTTGAGGATAATCCTATTAGAAAACACATTGTGGTAGAGATAAACACGGTCCTTGGCACTGAACATCAACTCCCTACATGTCGCTTGAGTGAACACTTATCCTCAAGGTGTATGTTGCAATTATAAAACTATCCTAATGGTGTAAAACTACCAATTTGATTAAAACACAGATCTTACTAGTATTTTGTTTCGTTTTTTATAGTTCAAAAATTTCGTTTTACTTGTCTTTACTACACTAGGATCTGGAAGAGTTGTTATATAACCCACGTTCTGGTTGATGTGAGGGATTAGCCAATAAAACAATCTGTTGCAGCGTGTTCTTGGCGTGCGGTGCACGGAACTGTGGGTATCCCACCTGAAACATCAATACTGATTGGTTAATCAAATGTCTGATGGCATCGGGTCAAATGACTACTGACGCGACCTCCCACTACAGCCGGCCAGATCTTCATGTAGTGGAAACAATCGACAGTATAAAAAAAACAAACGAAATATAGATCTGTCTTTTAATCAGATTGTAAAACTACAAAACATTGAGTGACTGACCACCCGGATAATGTATAGTAGGATAACAAACCTCACTATCTCTATGGCGTAACCATTTTCTGTATAATATTTAAACCAACGCATATCTGTTGGAAACCCAGTAAGTGTGTTGTGCGATATCTGTGACGCTAAAGGATAAACGATAAAAGAGGCGTTATTACCTGCAAGCCAGATTGGTAGACTGACTTGGTAATGACCAGACCAAGGTTCTACAGCACTCATTAACCCAGCATTGTAGTAATGCAAACCAGGATAATAACTTGTTATTATATTCCAGAAAATAGTTCTAGTAGAAATAAAAAAGAATTGGTGGTTTATAATTACTTGCAAGTCATATCTCAGGTTTAATCTTTTAATAGCCTGAAAAGATTCGGTTATATCCATTAAACCCCGAATTAAACAGATCATGCAAACCTGGAGAGGAAATCTAAAAGTAAATTTGTATATTTATTATCATTACACATGTGACTATATGGATGTTTTTTTGTTTAAAAACAAAATAATGGGTAGCTTCTAGATAAGAAAGGGTATGGCAAGGCCCACTTTTTTTCTACAATACTATTTATCAGAGTATTTGACCTTTCCCATTGATCAAAAGTACTTTGTCCTGTTTCTGATACATCTCAAGGACATTAAAATTCTAACCATATTATTAATGCTAATTTTTAAGAGAACATGACATTGTATTCTGATAATGAATATGACCAAAAAGCCCCAGCGATATGGAGGGAGAAGCGGACTTTGATGTGACTTGTGTAAAAAATAAGTTGAAAAAAACTTACGTAGTCATTAAACCATTAATATAGTTCTGGTTTAGTGTCTGAAATATTGATAATATTGAAAAAATCATTTAAGAAATGAAAATATCCATACAATAGGTCCAACAAGCTGTCAAATAAAGTTGTGCCAGTTCATATCAATGATACCAATATATATATGACATTCTTACCTCTGCTAAATTTGTTCCCCAAACAGAATCTTCAGATGCCCAGAGTGGTTTTCCAGAATTCTTAGCCATAGCAGTACTTTGGGTTTTTGGATAGTGGGACCTGAAATCAATTTGTTTGCTGACTTCATGTAAGATAAGTATGTATACAGGTATGGAGATATGTAGTTTCTTATAGTATTGGACGATGCCATACTTGTGTTAGAGGATGTAAACTCCAATTAACACCAATATTTTTTTCATCCACCAAAAACAAATACCCCCCAAAACCCCCCAAAAACCAAAGAACAAAACAAACCAAAAAAACAACATTATAGTTCTAGTAGCTAGCATCTTGAAGTCAGTTCACAACTTACCCAATAGCGTAAATAGCATTGGCTAATTCTGTGTCATTAGCCATTTGATCAGCTATAACCCATTTGAACTCATCAGGAGCTACAATTAACGTGTTGCCGAAACCAGCCTTATCTAAAGACTTACGTAATGTCTGAAAAAAGTTAAATTTAATATCTCAGAAACTAGAGGGCCTATTTTATGGGTTATTTTCGAGGCCTTCATGTCTTTGTTTAACATGTTCGACTGGTTTCCGGTGAGCTGCACCAAGTTCCGGTTATGGGCGGCTAAGAAATGGCGTTTGAAAGCTCAATGGTCCAGGACCGGAATAATGTTTTTTAAATGTTCCAAAAATGTCAAGTTTCCCCCAGCTACGAGAAATAGGACTTCCAATGGGCTGTCCACAAGGAGAGATAATAGAAGGTTTAGACCTTGAGGGGTTGACGTCAGAAGAATATTGTATCGTGTGGTAACATAAGTTTATACACAATATATAAATTCAATAATAATGACCGAAAGAACATTTACCTTGATGTAAGTTATATTGTACGGACTCTCGTTCCAGATCTGAAAAATGACCACCGGTACACATCATTATTCCTAGATAGCTTCAGAAACACGTAACTTCTTATAATAACACGATTTTCAAATAAATTACTGTACTAAAATATGACATACAAAATAATAATTCATAGGTAATAAGATTATAACAATGTACTTGAAATGAAATAAAATGGGGTTTAACGTCTTACTGGGGGGTTAGATGGCCGAATGGTATTGGTTAGCACATGCGTGCTGTATCATAAAGCTGGCCATTAAGTCAACTGGCGTGGTTTCGAATCCCCGGTTGTACGTGACAAGGAGTAGGGTCGCCTGTCCAATCTCGTGGGTTTTCTCCGGGTCCCCCGGTTTCCTCCCACTGCTAAAGACCCCTACGCGCAAGCGAATTATTGAAATAAAAATTAAAAAAAAACAAAAACAAAACATATGTTAGTCCCGAAATGACCTAGTTTGTGTCGAGTGGACGTTAAACCCCATTTCTCTCTCTCTTAACGTCTTACTATTCTGCTCCGACTAATAATGTACTTTCACTAACCCACATTATCAACGTATAATATAATGTATCTACTGTTATAATATTCTTACATCCATTAATTGTTCTTTTATTACAATGTAATTACGGTTAGATAATGTGTGTGCTATTTAACGATCGTATGCCTATATAATGTGTGTGCTATTTAACTATCGCATGTCTATATAATGTGTGTGCTATTTAACGATCTTGCGCATATCATATGCGTGTGCTATTTATTGATTGTATGCCTATATAATGTGTGTGCTATTTAACGATCGTATGCCTATATAATGTGTGTGCTATTTAACGATACGCTTACACCTATATAATGCGTGTGCTAGTTAACGTTCTTACGTTTACGCCTATATAATGTATTTGCTTTTTAAATGTATTTCCTCTTATATTTTGTAAGTCCTGTTATAACGTATACTTACGCCAATATAATCTATAGTTAGATTATAATGAACTTTAGCACCATTAATCCACTTGACTATATAATCAGCTGTTGTTGGTATGTTTTTCCAGGGAAGGTCATTGTCATCTCTCAACCATCCAGGGAATCCCCATGGTAACCCGCAGAGCTTAATATCGGAGTTCCGCTAAATGAAACAAAATGTTAAGCACAAATTACTATGTCAGCGTTAGATGTTGCATATTATTAACAATTATTAGTTCAACCTGAAAGAAACCAAGACATTATTAGTACCTTTTTAGCTTCTTGTAACATCCACCATTCATAACCTCGTGTATAATCTTCATCCCAACCATAATGCATGTGTGAAGCTTCTGTTCCATCTATAATAAAGATACGAGGTTTTATTGAATACTGAGAAGGTATTTCGGTTAATCTATTATTTCGATCTGATGAGTTGAAGTTTAACGGTTTACTTTTCTGCAGCAACCGGTCGGTTGAAGACGGCCATACGCCATGAAGTGTGCTATGAGAAGACATTTGCGAATCCCAAAAGGTTCTTTTTTTGGCAAGGCCATCCGAACTACTTGACGATGTCCCTTGTCAACGCTGCAAACGAGAAATCTTCCACGGCCAGAACCGGAACCCAGGACTGCCATTCGAAAATAGGACATGATTTATTCCATGTTTATTACAAACTAGTATTTTACCTGTACTTTGAACATCACCACCTATTTCTACTTTGAAGATGTCGAGCGAAGCACCAAAATTAGGCTGAAATATTGGTAAATAAGGTGAAATATGAAAAATATAGAAACCATTTATTCACACGACAAGCCCATAATCAACTCTCTAGGTCATCGGGTGGCAGAGATATTGAGTGGATTAGGCAATGTCTGTCATATATTCGTTAGACGTAGAAATTGAAAATCGAGATTTTGTAAGTTATCGTAGCAATGGTCTTTAACAACCGAGACCATTTAAACTATTTACTTGTCAAAACTTCAAACATTCATAACATTCAGAATAAAGAAATTTGACTGAAATTTTCAACATGTTCATTTTTATACAACCACATGTTAATAAATTGTACATAATGCATCTTTAAATAAATCATGTCCTTACCTTAAATAAGTAATCTAAAATTTCAGATCTTTGCGGCTCTGGATAATTCACAAGTAATTTTGATGTTGCCTTAAAACAAAAAGATAGAATACAGACGGTAATATTATAACATGTTTGGATTTATGGAACAACTTTACGAATTTCAAGGTTGCATTAGATGACGATATTTCATTCTCCACATCTGATTTCTTAAAACAGCTCAATTTTTCAAGATAGATTAATGATCTTATTCGGTTGAATCGACATTGTCAATGACAATATTACCCCTCCACCGCTAATAGCTCCGATACCAGTAAACGTTCTTCCATATCCAGCAGAATCATCAATGGTATATGTAGCACCATCGTTACCATTTATGTTATAAATTAAAATCACGAAAAGAACAAAGTTAAAATTCTTCGCCATGTTGAATGTTATAGATATCAACATATGCTGTCTTCAATTAGAAAACAGGTCAAGGACCTACTGATATCGAATATTTTTAATCATAATATGCTAATTGTTTTGAACTCCCATTGTAAGTATTCACGCCGTTAATTATGTTTGTTTTTATTGAACTGTTTTAGTTAGATATCTATAACCCAGATGTTTGTTTAGCGACAGCCTCATAGACGTACGAGCTAGGGGAGCAGCTTCCCCCTAACTTTCGGCCAATTTGACTTTTTGGGCAGACGGCAAAATAAAGTGCCCGAAATCTGATAAAACACTAATTTTATTTTACTTTTAATTGAATACCACTTATTTATACTGAATTGACTATGTATATAGATTAAAACAATTTTTCTTGAGACACTTTTTCGGGCATCGACTATTATTTGTGAATGCAGCTGCAACAGTCCCATTGGATGGTTGGAATCCAGGTCGGCATAAATTAAGACTTTGAAGTTGCTTAAAGCAAGAATTTCATATTTTCTAAGAAAGTCAAAACATAATTATTTCTATGTCTTTTGCTCAATAGGTTGTCAACTCACTATTATACGATCATAGATATCATTCACCCCGGAAATAATAACACAATTACCTCCCTTGTTTTTCTATCTCCCCCCCCCCGCCATGGAATAGGATTAATAGGATTATTCTTTAACACGGTATATAGATACCATCTATTTTAAGGCTTTATTTTAGTACATTTTAAAAATATAACTTAAAAATATGAAATTATCGCTTTGACTTGTGGGATAGAATAGAGAATCAACGCATTTGCGGCGGGTAAATTTTCAAAATTTTCTCTAGCAGGGCGAGGCCTCCATACCCCGCGGCTATTGATTGGTTGTTTGGGATTTAGGTCAGCCACCTAAGGCTATATTGAAACATATTGAAGTTGCTGTATTCACGGGCTGGAATAACAGGACTCGTTTGCGGCAGTTAAATTTTCAAAATATTTCTCCGACGGTCCCGTCTCCCTGGACTATAAACGTTTGGTTGATTAAATCGAGTCAGCCACCTAAGTTTAGCTATATTAGACAACTTTCTGTATTCACGGGCTGAAATAGCAGGAAAACGCGTTTGCGGCCGTCAAATTTTCCAATTTTTTGCGGTGGGGGGTGGGGTGGAGGAGGAGGGGCCCTAGACGTTAAGCTCCACTCCTTCGCCTCTCGCAGACGACCGGCGTCGCAGTCTGTAACCCGTACGCCTATGGACAACCTCCCGCTATAATAACGCAATTTTGTTGTTTTCTAGCGAGAATGTTGCAGATTGAATTAATTACTACATGGCAAAATTTACGAAAGTCAAAGGTCACTCAATAAATAAAATTGATACCGATAGAAAGAGGCGGTTAGGACGATTATGAAGATTTTTCAAGGACGTAATACATCGAATTGACTTTATAGATAACAATATTTATTTGACCTTTCCGTTATAGTGTATATGTATATAGATTAGTTATCAATATCCTTGGGTTTATTGACACCATTGTTATTATCTCAGGTCACCTAGTCCCTCCCCCCTCCCCCCCCCACGTCATTTGCAGTGGGAGGAAACCGGGGGACCCGGAGGAAACCCACGATGTTGGACAGGCGACCCCACTCCTTGTCACGTACACCCGGGAAATCGAAACCGGAGAAAACCCACGAGGTTGGACAGGCGACCCCACTCCTTGTCACGTACACACGGGGAATCGAAACCACACCAGTTGACTCAATGACAGACTTTATGATACAGCGCGCACACGCTAACCATTCAGCCATCCAACCCCCATAAACCATGCGGTCAGTGTTCCCTCCTAATTGTCACTGCCAAGGTTTTTGTCAACGTGCACGCCATCGATTCCTCGACTAGACGCATTTTCCTTGCCACGTCCCGCGTCCTGCACCACTGACATTGGCAATCCAGATTTTAGAATCCAGATGAACCGTTTCGACCAACACCCGGATCGAACCCGGGACATCCTAACGAGCCAGCACCATACCCACTCAACTTAGTGATTTCATTCACAAACTTGAACATTGTAACTTTGCGTAAAACTGGGACTGTGTATAAAATCTACAAACCGATCAGGTTTTAGATTAAGAGCATGCAAAAACGGGGTTTTAAAAAATGTTTTATTCAATGTCTAAGCGTTATTTACATAAGGATTGTTTTATTTTATTTATAATGCGGTAACTTGAAAATCATCAAACCAGGCAATACCATATGGATAAGTTCCTACAGCTATCCAACCATTAGTTATTCCTTTAGATGCTGTTATATTAAATAATACTTCCGTATTAAGAGAACCTGTCACACGACTTCCCTAAAATATACAAAACATAATCATTAAAATATACAAGTCTCCTTAAAATATATCGACAGGAGCTTATCCGAAAGGAAAACCTAGATGTTGACCACATTTGATACTTCGACAAAAGTGTATATCTCTGGTGTTTCCGCTAATGGCCACAATGCTTCATGCCAAATTTGAAAATAATCCGTTAAATCCGTTATAGTCTATCTGAAAATATAACTACATATAATCACCATCTACATAATAACAACAGCAACAACTGTCTAGCAATAGATCGACATATAATCAGTAATTACCCAAACTATCTAGCAATAGATCTACATATAATCAATAATTACCTGAACTTGTAAGTGAAGTACATTCCAGCTGTTTGTAACTTTATTAACTTTACCAGATGCCAGAACTTTAGTTCGATCTAAAAAATAAAGAAAAAGATAGATTAAGATAGGTTCTAGGATTAAATTGTTATTAAACGACCACGGAATCGCTGAAAGCTGCAACAGACCTACCTGTACATGTGTGAAATATTTAATCCATTAGAAATACATACGAATATGTAATATATATTACGGTTATGTTACATATACTCTTCTAATCGCCATAAACATACTTTTCTTAGCTTATAAATATACTCTTCTATACTTTGTAAACGTTATAAATAACATATATGTTCTTCTAAATGTTATACATGCTCGTCTAAACTTTATAGAAATGCTCTTTTAAACGTTATACGTACGCTCTCTGCTAAACATTTTAAATATGCTCTTTTAAACTTTATAAATACGCTCTAATAGATATGCTCTTCCAAAAGTTATACGCATGCTCTTCTAAACGTTATACATATGAAAACTTACATAAATCGGTACTTAATAGATACCGTTGTTCTTTTGGGAAGAAAAACATAAACAATCCTTTAATCTGATCTCTAGTTTTACAACCACTCATGGATGATCTCACTGCTAGAAAAACAGCATCACTGGTGTTTTGACCATTAAGTTGAACGGAAATTGTAGCAGATATATCTGTCCTGTACAATTAAAGAGAAATAGATCTTTTAAGTACAATCTATTATTACCACCTCCTTTTAAATCGATATGCTCATATTCTATTAATTTTAATTTGTTAAATTTTGGTAATCAGTGTTTTAGTTAACACTTAATGATCTATTACGACGAGAAAATTCCTTAATTAAGTGGCGTAGTAAAATATGCGGGCTACGGGATGAAATCCACACCATGCTCACCGCATAAAAGCAATATAAACATTTGAAAATATGGGACATTTGTGCAAAAATAACAATGTAAGTTTTTTTAAGGATGCGGTGGTGGATTGCTGAATGCTGCAATGTCGATTTGAGTGAGTAGCAAAATGTATTTTTTATTCCGGTTGCATCTATTGCAATCATGTTTTAAGATGTAGGATATACGGTTCATTATGTGCTAATGCGCGAAAAATTCTACCGCTATGACAGAACATTCATAAGTCATGCTACGAGTATAAAAGCCTTGAAATGGAACTGTATTGTGGTGGAACTGACTTTATTGAAGACTCCAAACATTTTTGTTAAATAGATTTAAAGGGAACCAGATGCTAAGGTAACAATATAAGATGAGGCTGCATTACCATTTATAATCTCCAAAGACATTGAAAGATGTATTAAAATTATCAACATGACAATAGTACCAATGTACAGGTTCATCTATAACCATTTGTTTCATAAACTTGTTTCCTCCACTTTCACCAACTTCAAATGATCCAATTTGTTGAGCAAAGTAAAAGGCTTCTTCCCCCAGACGGTAACCTATGTATATTAAATAATCAATATTAACTTTATTTAATTTATCAAACAATGATTGGAGGTAATAATATATAATCGGGTAGCTATAGTATTCTGAACTGAAATATTAGAGACTTATCGCAACCCGCACTACGATCATATCCATAGGTGGCCCGATGACTAAAAGGACCTTTTCTCTTATGCCTTATTTGTATTCATATGACTGAACATAATACATTTGAACTATTTCCAGTTACTTTCATACACTGGTTATTTAAAAATAGATATATTCGATATTTTAAAAATTAGTTTAATGCCTGTTATTGAATGATTACTAAGGCTAAAATCTCTTTAAACTCTAACCTTCAAAATCCTCAGTATATGGTAAGGGAAATGGTTTAGAATCAGGAATATTTGGATAATCTCCTTTATGACCAGTATTAACTGTTGTTAGTGTCCATACTTCGTTCGCATTTATTGTCAAGGAGATAGAACCATTCACTACCTTTAAATAGAAATATCTAGATCATTATCAGCCAAACATAAGATGCCAAGCAATGAAGCATACACCTACTAGCAAAACGTCGTCCGAGTTGTTATAACCTAAACGACTTCTAAATCTTTCAACATGTCCGGAACATGATTGAGGTCACAAGATTTACTAACAAAGGGACATAACTGTGACCATTATCCGTAGGAAAGAATATTTGAATTAATGTACTAACAAGAAATATGAAGAACAGACCAACGGCCTAGTAGCAAAGGGGCATGATATGGTAGTTATCAAAAAGCATTGAAATCAATAGGATTCTTCCTATCGGATAATAATAATTGGAAACAAGGTATCTTTAACTATAAAGGGGGTTGGTGGGTGCTGACCCTGGGAGTTATTATGGAGAAACGCTTTAAGTGAATCGTGTTCTTTATTGCAATAGGAAAGCCAAACAATATAATGTTAAGAAAGGTGTGATAATTATCTGCAGCCTATAAAGTGAGTGTTAACAAGATTTCGTGTGTAGTAACATGAAAGGGGGAACAACAAATGGGATGACGTCAAAATACTGAAAGCAAATTTTGTTCCTACCTTTATCGGATCCATTTTTTGGAAATATTTTGGAGAATTCTTTGTATCCGTGTGCCATACATTTAATGAATTTAGACTCTTAGCCTAAAATAGATTAAATGGGTTACCAAAAAGATTGAACCGATGTTTATTTACTGATTATTTGTAAAATTTGAATTTAAATATTACTAGAATCAATACTTACAAATTTGCCTTTAATTTCAAACTTTACCAGTTGGTCTGGAAAATTGGCCGACGGCGAGGGTTTAGTCTGAAACGTACATTATACAATATTTATTAATGTTCTCCTACATAAAAATAATATCAAGTTCCGGTTCAGATTATTTACCTCTCTGTCGGTCTGTCAACAATTAGCTTGTGAACGCGATAGAGGATTCGTGTTCTGAGGGATCTTTTTCAAATTGGGCGTGAACCACTTCAAGCTTGTAAACAGGAGATAAATCATGCAGCGTTTCAGAAGTTAGGTCTGAGGTCAAGGCTCGTGGAACTCGGTCTATAATTTTGAAGAGCTAAGGATGACTCTTTTCAAGCTAAGCGGGTGCTCCTAACAATGCGAATTATTGATGCTTACAATTTAAATTGTGTTCACGTGTTTTTAAAACATAAATATAACATCTGACTTGTAGTTTCTTTAATTACTTTTATATGAGCAAGGATTTAGAACAATACAGTTTTCCAGAGTTTTAATTATCAAAAGTACACAACGTGAAGTTCATTTTGAACCTTAAGGAAAAAGAAATCAGAATCGCAAGATTGCTTACATTAATTTTCTTTTGAAGGCAGCAGCGAACGGGATAGTATCACATATATACATACCAATGTTTCTATAATAATTGTCAGTTGTTGTTCATCTGGACTTGTTAAAACAACATAGCTTCCACCATTAGTAAAATTACCAACACCATATCCATGTTTAAAATATTTCCAACCTATTTCAGTGAACTGAGTCGTGTGAGCTAAACAAAAAGACGATATATTTTTCGTAGTTGTAATGTATTATGCAATAAAATCACCCCAGGTCATCCAGACGAGCATTATACTGATAACCGATATTATTGTTTAGCGAACGAAGACCTATTGTAGCATGCAAGAAGCAGACCAAGTAATAGCATGTACAGGAGAACCGGATCACACATAACAAGAAGCCATATACTCCTTGAGTGGCATTTAGCGATTGAACACATTAAAAACACAACACAGTTTATATGGAAATACAATCACTGGTTTATAAGTATAGCACGACGTTTCGACAAGTATTCTCTTATCGTTATCAAGCATTTGTGCTGTGTTTTTAAGCCATATACTATTGGGGAATTGTAAGTAATACATGATAACAGTACTATCAAATCGAGCTGCATGTAGCAATACAGGCGTCCCTTAAAATGAAACGACGCATCCAAAAAACGCAAAGCAGGAGATAGCATTTCTAAAGTATTGTAATATTCTAGAATATATCATGATCGCATACAATCAATCTCAAATTTAATACATGCACAATGAGTGGATCTTGTCATTGCTTTGACGCTCAAGGATAAACGTTAAAAATGGCACTATTACCTGCAAGCCAGATTGGTAGCTTAACTAGGTAATATCCGGACCAGGGTTCTACAGCAGTCATTAAACCGGCACCGTAGTCATGTAAACCGGGGTAATAACTTGTAATTATATTCCAGAATATAGTTCTAGTAAAAATAAAGAATAAATTAAAGTTTAAAATTACCCGCAAGCCATATTATAAGCTTATTCTTTTCATAACAAGACAAGATTCTACCACTTCCATTAAACCTGATTAAACAACCCTGCTTTAAAGGGGGTTGGATGGTTGAATGGTTAGCGTGCGCGCGCTGTATCATAAAGTCTGTCATTGAGTCGACTGGCGTGGTTTCGAATCCCCGGTTGTACGTGACAAGGAGTAGGGTCGCCTGTCCAACCTCGTGGGTTTTCTCCGGGTCCTCCGGTTTCCTCCCACTGCTAAAGACCCCTACGCGCAAGCAAATATGTAAATAAAATTAAACCATATGTTAGTCCCGAAATGACCTAGTTTGTGTCGAGTGGACGTTAAACCCCATTTCTCTTTCTCTCCCTGCTTTAAACCGGAAAAGGAAGCTAGCAGTAAATGTATATTGTGTAAATTCGTAAGTTATTATTTGTTTTAACAAACCAAACTTTAATCTAGATAATAATGTATATAGCTTCTAGATGAACAGAGTTATGTCAAAAGTCGCCTTTTTGCTAAAAAAAACTATTATCAACATACGAGACCGTTCTCATTGATCAAAAGAATTCTGGCCCGTTACTTAGCAAATCTCAAGGACTTTAAAATTCTAACCACGATTGTTCAAGTTCCCCAGTATTAGCAGTAATGTAAACATGAAATTCTGCAGCACCTTTCTGATTACCAATTTATTTCTAGATAAACTGTCTTTAATATCAGGTATTGTCTTTCTTAAATATTTTGTTTAAAATCACGATCTTAAGGCGAAATATTTAGCTTTTTTTGGGGTAAAAATATTATATTGGGGAATTTTGACTATTAAAGAGTGTCTAAGTTTCGAAAACAAAAGAGCAATACAAACACAAAGTTTTAGGTAGACCTTATCATTAATTTGAGATTAGGTCTTTTGTTAATGATAATAAATAGAATTAAAACAAATTAACAGTGGGTAGGAAAACAGACTTTCATGTGTGTAAATAAGTTAAAAAAAACTTACGTAGTCATTAAACCGTTAATATAGTTTTGGTTTAGTGTCTGAAATGTTGATAATATTAAAAAAGATTTAAAATATTAATGAACATTTCTCTAAACTGTCCATCAAATCTGGATGACACAAAGTAAGTTTGTCAAATTTGCTGCACTTGGTTCTTGAGATGACATTTTGTAAACCCCGTGATTTATGGTTTGTTTATTTCAATTACAGAGATTTAAATACATAATTAGCTGTAGTCAAACTATGCCAAAAGTAGGAGTCGGTTATTAAACATGCATTATGACATGCATTATGTAAGAGCTAGCTAAATCTGCCTATTGCAGGTCTTTCGTAAGGCCGTAAAGGTTATCTAAATTATTAATGAGACATTAATTAACTCATCACAACCATAATCAGCCTGCGATATTCAGTGGATTTGAATACTGTACGTTTTATGATAGATGAATTAACGTATAAATGGGTAATCGAGATCTTGTTTATTATCATGGAAATGTCGTTCGAGGCTAGCCTGAAACTTAATCGCTAATTTCTTGGTTCAGAGTAAAGCAATTTGTCTGACATTTTCAGCATATTCTATTTTCATTATCTACCTATTTTTTTAACTATTATAACGATAACTGTCAGTTCTTTTTCAAAATCTTACCTAATGCCCCTTTAATAAGATATTTAATATGTAATTATCTAAACCAATTATTTGAGAAATTACTTATATACAGAATACATATTATTACATTTATACTTACCTCTGCTAAATTTCTTCCCCAAACAAAATCTTCAGATGCCCAGAGTGATTTTCCAGAATTCTTAGCATTAGTAGTACTTTGTGTTTTTGGATAGTGGGACCTGAAATCAATTTGTTTGCTGACTTCATGTAAGATAACTATGTATACAGGTTTGGAAATATGTTTTTTACATCTAGTATTGGCCAGTGACAAACATGAGTGTGTGAGCACATGATCCCATTTCCAGATGTGGGTGTTGATAGCTTTTACTAATACCTACTAATAACCTCAGTTAAGTTTGATTTCTTAATTCGCACTATTAATGCAAAAGTACTATAACAAATGATTCTGTATTCTAAATCTGAACTAAAAAAAGCCCACTATATTTCTTGCATCCTGTAATCAGTCCACGACTTACCCAATAGCGTAAATAGCATTGGCTAATTCTGTGTCATTAGCCATTTGATCAGCTATAACCCAATGGAACTCATCAGGAGCTACAATTAACGTGTTGCCGAAACCAGCCTTATCTAAAGATTTACGTAATGTCTGAAAAAAAGTAAAAATGAATTATATCACAACAGAAAAAAGAGAGAATATTGGTTATTTCCGAGCGCCTTCTTCGGTTATCTTCCAACGAGCTTCATCAAGTTGCGGCAATGAACGGCTGATAATTATCGTTTGGTATAGCTTAAAGATACATTATGGGAGATTCGATAACGAGTTGGCAGTTCTCACAATAATAGTTAAAAACTAAATTATGTAAAGGCAATTTGCTGAAAATTTCATTCAAATTGATCCACTATGAACCGAGAACAAAGCGATTGACAGCAAGGCTCGATTATCCATTTAATCGCTAAATCGTGAAGGAATGTTATGCAGTAAATCGGCTCTTAATCCACTAAAAATCGCAGGCTAGCGATGCCATCTATAGTTGATTATGGTCTGGATATGTTAATTAATGTCTAATTAATAATTTAGATAACATTTCAGGCCTAAAGAAAGACCTGCAATAGACAGCTTTAGCTCTTGCATAACGTATGTTTAATGACTCATACCAGAAATAGCTGCAATAAACGTATGCTTTTAGGGACTTTGGATCATTTCACATATATATTTAAAGTCTTGATGGCGTAAGATCACTTTAATGGTGGCTAATTTTATTATAACCGAGTGAGATGAAAGGACCGAAAGGAATGTCGTTACACAAATTCGAAATGGACCCCGATACTATGGATGGGGTAAACGCAATGATAAATGTACATAATCATATAAATAAATATAGTAATTCAATAATAATATACATAATCATAGAAATAAATATAGTAATTCAATAATAGAGAGAACATTTACCTTTATATAAGTTATGTTATACGGACTCTCGTTCCAAACCTGAAACAATTTTAATGGTACACATCGTCATACATAATGATACCCGTTTCAAATAAATCCCTCTAGTATGATATAACATAATATATTTTATAGACTTAAACGAAAATAATGTAAAGTAAGGTCATTCTGTTCGTACGTCGATTTTTAATATCTAATAAAATTATAATGTACTTACACTACAATATAACGCATGCACTGTTATAATGTACTTGCAATCATATAATGTAATATGTGCATTTTAATGATCTCACCTCTATTGTACTGTTAGAATGTACTTACGCCTATATAATGTATGTGATGATATTATAAAGTCCTTACGCCTATATAATGTACAGTATACTTATAGTAAACTTACGCCGATATAATCAATATTAAGATTATAATGAACTTTAGCACCATTAATCCACTTGACTATATAATCAGCTGTTGTTGGTATGTTTTTCCAGGGAAGGTCATTGTCATCTCTCAGCCATCCAGGGAACCCCCATGGTAACCCATAGAGCTTGATATCGGAATTTCGCTATTATATGAAAAGAAAATCAAAAAAATCAGAACATTTAACTATACAGGTTTATATGTTCCGTATTAGTAATATTTCTAACTGAAAGAAATCAAGACATTATTAGTACCTTTTTAGCTTCTTGTAACATCCACCATTCATAACCTCGTGTATAATCTTCATCCCAACCATAATGCATGTGAGAAGCTTCTGTTCCATCTATAATAAAAGGAAGAGGCCATTTAACTATTTTATATATCACACTTAAAATCTAAGAATAAACAGTGTTACTTTGGCTCAATATCCAACCTGCAGATGTATACTCAAAAATATAATTATGTGCAAAACTTTGTCAAATCCGTTCGCTCAAAGCAGAGACGCTTCGGTATGAAATTTCTTGATTACTGCAGTACTCAACCGAAAGGGAAGACTGTTCCTTAACAGCCCCCCCCCCCCCCCCACTCGGACCTCAGCCTTGACAAGGGGAAATCTGGTTGGGAAATATTCTTCCACCAACATCCAGTATTCTGAACTGCATCACCAAAACTGACAAGGAGAAACAAACTAGAATCGGAAATTCTCCTCGGCCAAATCCAGAAACTGGGACCGCAATTCGAAAAAGAGACGCGAATTTAAATTTCTTTACCTGTACTTTGAACATCACCACCTATTTCGACTTTGAAGATGTCAAGTGAAGCACCAAAATTAGGCTGAAATATTTATTTGATAAAAACGGTGGGATATGAAAAATAAAGAAAGTATCGGCAAGATTTGAATAATTTAAGTATATTCCTTTGCTTTTATTTTATTTTTTTGTATTTTAAAAAGAATGCATCTTACCTTGAATAAGTAATCTAAAATTTCAGATCTTTGCGGCTCTGGATAATTCACAAGTAGTTTTGATGTGGCCTTAAAAGAAAACGATAGCATACGGACGATAATATAATAACATTAATATTATAACATATTTGGTCATGAGAGGTACAACAACTGTACATATCTCAAGGTAGCTATAGATGACGATATCTCAGTATCTAATTTATTAAATTCATTTTTAAATATAGATAATTGCTTGTATGCGGTTAATTTAACATTGTTAATGACAATATTACCCCTCCACCGCTGATTGCTCCTATACCAGTAAAAGTTCTTCCATAACCAACAGAATCATCAATGGTGTATGTATTAGCACCATCGTTACCATTTATGTTATAAAGGAGACTTGATAAAAGTACAAAGTATAAAATCATCGCCATGTTGCTATTCTTGTATATTATACGTAAAGATAATCAATATATGTTGTCTCCAATAAGTAAATATAGGTCAGGGTTCAGCTCATATCGGGTCGTTTCAAGTTTCATATGCTAATTGTATTGGATTGTCATTGTATCGAATTCTCCACCGTTAATAATAAACTGTTCGGTGACAAACCCTGCGAAACGCTCGTAGTTTTGGCAGGGTTCTAGCACGTAATACAACTTTGCAAATGATCGTTTTATTGATTTACTTCTTTGAAAAGTTTACAATAGTCACAGATTGCGACCCCCCCCCCCCCCCAAAAAAAAAATAAAAAAATAAAAAAAAATGACTGCCGCAAACGCATTTTTTTGCTATTCCAGCCCCTGAATACAGCAAGTCATCTAATATAGGTGGCTGACTCGAATTCAAATCAAACAATCAATCGTTTACAGTCCACGGAGAATACAGCAACTTCGATATCGCCTAATTTTGAAAATTTAGTCTATTCCGTGAGTTAATTCAACTTGAAAGCTTCCAATCGTTTTGTAACTCTATGCCGACCCGAAATCCAACCATCGGCATCCAATCGGACTGTTGCAGCTGCATTCACAAATTATAATAATCGATGCCCGAAATGAAATGAAATGAAATGGGGTTTAACGTCCTACTGTTCTGCTCCTATGTTGGGCTAATGAAGACGGGCATACGCCATACAGTGTGCTATGTGGGAAATTTTGCCCGGGCAGCGGCACTATCGCCTACTCTTAAATCGATTTCCAGCTGCCAAGGGCTCTTTTACGTGCATTCCAATGTATACACGGGACCTCGGTTTTCCGTATAATCCGAAGGACTGGACAACTGTCCTTGTCAGGCCATGCGTCCTGCATCACTGACAAGGGGGAACCACGCCGGAAAATCTGGATGAACTTTCTCGGCCAATGCAGGGATCGAACACCCGACCTCCAGGCTAGCGAGCCAGCGTCTTACCCACTTAGCCACGTGATCCCCTAATCGATGCCCGAAAAATATCGCAAAAAGTAGAGTGGCTCCAGGAAAAAGTTTTAATCCATAGTCAATGTACAAATTCGTGGTATTCCGTTAAAGGAAAAGTAAAATTCGTGTTTTATTAGATTTCGGTCACTTTATTTTATCAACATGATTGTCTGAAATTTAGGGGGGGTGTATGACTGGCACACAAACTTCATGGGCTTGGAACGTACGAGTTACATATACAAAAGGGGGGACGGAAAGGTATTAACAAGCTTATGGAGAAAGACAATTAAGAAGGATTAAAAAGATTCTTCTACTCATTCACAAAAATCTTCTAGGATTAGAACGTCAAGAAAGGCAATTATCAAGTCAACTCATATGCACGTATAAACAAAATGCATTTTCTTTTAAATGCGTTTTCTTGAAAATAATAATAATAAAAAAAAAAATGTCATTATTTTTTTTTTTACATTTTTGGTATATACAGGGCGGTCGGAATAATTGGCAAATATGTGTTCATTTGGTTAAAAAAAATTGTCCTTGGGGGACAAACCCTGTAGCTCCATTTTGGACATTATCCCTGTTGACATAACCGTCCCTTCATCCCTTCTTATAGTTTTTAAGCTTTTAACGTTATTTCATCTGGATTATCGCCCTTATTATTGTGATTTTTATCACCTTCTAAGATATGACATCATTCCCAAAATAACGTCGCAACTCGGTCAGCAGACGGCTGTCCCTCGAGACAGTCTACATTTTCTATTTGCTTCTTTGTATTCAGTTTTGTTTTTGTTTTTTTGACGGATGGAACATGTGCCCTATATGTATTGAATACTGAAACGTTTCTTGATTGATTTTAGAGCATTTAGGTTTAGACTACTTTTTTTATACATTTCAACGATGTGGTTACTTGTATAGTTGAATTTTACTAAACCCTACATATGCTTACATTCGTATTTCGTTTAGCATATAGCAAATCATGACTCATGCTGGCATTGCACAATGGTTTCTTTGGGTTGTATTCCTAATTGTTTTCAAATTTGAGTGAAGTCTGTGTCACTACAGACCCGGGACTGTACAGCGCAGTGGGCGCTTACGGCTAACCCCGGATCCATTCACTTTTTTTTAAATTGTCTGTCTGTTTGTGTTTTCCTGAGTATGATGTCTTGTCCGTGTATTTGTTTTTGTGTAAATTTTGTGTGGTGCAGTCCCCCTGCACTTCCTATTAGAAAAATAAAAAGGCTAAAAGGAATGGTAAGATGAAGCGTAAGATAAAAAGTTTATCAATGAAATAATTTTCTGCAAAAATAGGGCTAATCAAGACAGGCATGCGTCATACAATTCCGCCCTGTCGTCATCGAATTCCAACTACCAAGCGTTATTTTACATCCACGCCAACGAGTTCACGACTTGATACATATTCCCCGACAGGTCCTGTGTCCATAATTGCTGACCAATGGAATCTATGATGGAGAATTCCGATGAACCCGGGACCTCCCCTTTATTTGAGTGAATTTATTCACAAACCCGAACTTTATAATTATTGCAAAACACTGCAGGTGTGTAAGAGCCACAAACGAATACGGTTTTAGGGTACCTGTAAGCAACAACAAGGTTTTTAAAATAAAATGTTTTATTACATATTACTATGCATAATCTAAAGAACGTTACTCATTTACATAAAGAAAAACATTGTTTTTATTTTATAAAGCGGTTACTTTAAATTCATCAAACCAGGCAATACCATATGGATAAGATCCTACTGCTACCCAACCATTAGTTATTTCTGTAGGTGTTTTTATATCAAATAATACTTCTGTATTAACAGCACCAGTCAAACAACTTCCCTAAAATATAGAATAAATACTACATATAAATAAAACCTATCAAAACACTTCCTAAAATACAGAATTTATATTTTAACAACATCTGTCAAACAGATACAATAAATAAAACCTATCAAATTCTCTAAAATATAGAATAAACATAATTCATATATTACCAGCCCCAATCAAAACAACTCCTCTAAAATACAGACTAAATAAAATAATAAAACCTATCAAACAACTTCCTAAAAGACTAAATATAATTTATGTATTAACAGTACAGAAGCGATGAAACGACTCCTCTAAAATATAAAATAAACATAGGATAAATACATTTGACATATTCAACATAATATATATTACCTTAACTTGTAAAGTAAGTACATCCCAGGTGTTGGTAACATTATTAACTTTCCCTGATACTAGAATTTTACTACGTACTGAAAATATTAAAACAGAAAACTAATATTGTGACATCAAATATGTTCTATATTTGTTTTTTTTTTCTTTAAGAATTGCTATTACATTTATATCCCATTTACTACAAGGCAAAAGTAAAAGAAACAATTATTAGTATTAGCATTAGCATTCAACGACAAGAGATTTTATTTACAAAACACTCCTGTTTCATAAGACGGGGATTTCCAGAAAGTGAAACTAAACAAATTGGTCACAAACCAATATGTTAAATGCTAGCAATTTGAAATTCTAATTCAAAATAAAACGGTATCATAGCTTTAAATAGCTTTAAACTAATACTAAGAAACTTTTAAATTCTTCTTATGTTTTACTTACACAAATCTGCAGTAAGCACGAATCGTTGTTCTTTTGGGTAGAAAAACAGAAAAAGACCAGTTTCATTTAAACTTTTACAACCATTGATATTTGATCGTAATCCTAGAAAAACAGCATCACTAGTATTCTGACCTTCTAGTTTAACAGATACAGTAGCAGATACATCTTGCCTATAATAAAATAACACTAGAAATACATATATTAAACATACATTATGAAAGAGCTAAATCTGCCTATTGCAGGTCTTATTTTATGCCTGAAATGTTATCAAAATTATTAATTAGACATCAATTAACTTATCCAGACCATAATCAACTCTCGATGGCATCGTTAGCCTACGATCTTAGTGGATTATGTTCCGATTTACTGCATAACTTTCCTTCCCGATTTAATTATTAAGTGGATAATCGAGACTATGCTTTTTATCGTACCGACTTTAGTAATGATGATCGAGGCTATGTGGAAATTTCAATCGCTTAATTCTCGGTTCATAGTGAATCAATTTAACTAAAATTTTCAGCAAATTACCTTTACATTATCTAGGTTTTAACTATTATAGTGAGAACTGCCAACTCGTTATCTAATCTTCCATAATGTATCTTTAATTATATGCTTTGCTTCTAAGGTCCAGAAACTCAAGGGGCGCAATAGTCTTAAGTCAAGAACCCTAAAACCTAGGTTTACAATTATGAAACGTCGATGCATAGTTCGAGTATTGATGCATTTGGAAAAATCTTTTAAATATATTATTTACATACCACATATTATCTCCAAAGACACTCAAAGATGTATTAAAATTATCCACATAACACCAGTACCAATGTACAGGTTCATCTATAACCATTTGTTTCATAAACTTGTTTCCTTCACTTTCACCAACTTCAAATGATCCAATTTGTTGAGCAAAGTAATATGGTTCTTCACCAACATTATATCCTGAGTATATCAAATAATTAACGTTTTACTTTATTTTATGGGTAAATATGGACCAAAGCTGTCTCTGGATCCTAGTTCGGGGTAATATTCTGAACATGTTACAGTTCTATCATGTAAATTAATCTTATATACCAATAACAGTTCTCGTGATTTCTCTAGAACACGTTTTTATATTTTTAAAACAAGAAGAACAAACATTTTAGCAGGAAAGAGCAAGCAAAACCCAGTAGCAGCTGTAATAAGTAGGGGATGATGTCCGCCTCCGTCGAGGGAGTCATCGCAGACAAAAGTTTCCTTAGAAACTTGCTAGATGGATCATGCATGACTGAGAGAAAATCCAACGAAAGTGGAGAATATTAGAGGGTGGTGGGGGGGGGGAGTAAATCGCAGCCCTTATCCAAGAAAGAAATTGAGCAGTCGAGCCAATAAAGATATGGCAACTAATGTAGCCTTATCAGGACAGCTTGGAC